TCTCTCTCTCTCTCTCTCTCTCTCTCTCTCTCTCTCTCTCTCTCTCTCAGCACTAATGAATGTAGCTGAATTGAGTTGTTTGAAGACAGAAAACTGCAACCACCGCCAAGCTTATTCTACTGGCCTCTCCCTTTTGCACAGAGAACACACATTTCCTTGCTGTGGAAACTACTGTTTGCTTTGCTTTGTTTTCATCCTTGCTGCTTAGGGCAAGCTCCATGAAATAATTGAAGTGTAGGCTGCTGGTAACAGGACACACGATAATAATAGCGGGATGTGAACTCCGGCTCATGTTTCACAGAACATAAAACCAAACCCAAGCAACCCCCCCCCCCAAAAAAAAACCCAAAACCCTCTTCTTGGATCTCTTGGATATCTCATATCATTGAGGGAAACTGCCCATCTTAGTGACTTGGACATTAGTGAGATCAACTGAGCTAAAGGAATTTGGAGCCAAAACATACATAAGCATATCTCAGCATTAAAAAAAATAATCCGACCAAAAAGTAAAGAGCGAGCCCACCCGGCCGTGTTCAAGGCTGTACTATCAGTGTGATGTGATGTCCTTTCCTCCAGCTGGGCAGAGGGCAGCAAAGAACCATTCCTCCTCCTGCTGGGGAGTGTGCACTCAGGCAGCTGGAGAGGAGAACTTTCTCCCATTCTTGGCATTCCCCTGTCCTCATCTGCCGGCATGGGTGGAGGCACCCTCTACTTATGACTCCTGCTGTCATGCCAACTGGACTTCCTTTTTTTCCTTCCCATTTGTGCCCTGAAATTATTTTCCAATCTTGTTTCTTCTCTCAACAAATCCTGGTGCCAGGTCCATGGTAGGATAACAGGAGATGCTTCCTCTCGGAAGGTGGGCGGTCCTGCTGCTCCTGATGGGGGGTTCATCTGAAGTGTAACTAAATGGAGCTAATAAAAATACTGGAGTGCGGACTTTCTGGCACTTTCCCCTGGGAGTGGTGCTTATCATTTGTACGTAACAAGTTCCTTGATACTTAGAAGTGTAAAAATGTATATAGCGTGTAACATGTTCTTAATACTTGGAAGACTCTTCAAGGGCCAATAATGTCAGCTCAGCTTCAGTTTACAGATAAGGGACCTCAGGCTCAGAAAGTGTGAGCAGTTTCCCCAAGGTGATTCATACACTGGAACAAGATCTTGTAGTTATTATTTAAGGCTTCCCGAGTCTCAATCAATGGGACTGTTTGATTGCTTACAACTGCCCTTTTCACTACTTTTAAATTTAAATTGTTATGGTGAATAAAGGACAAGTAAAAGATAAATGTGCGGGAAAATATGCAAAGAGCTTCTCAGAGATAAAGGAAATTGAAAAATCATGATGTGTGCATTGAGAGAATTTTGGGAAATGGAAGTGATGGTTACCCAGTGCTCCAGATACGAATGGCGCTACCAAATTGTGACCAGAAAACAACGAAAATTTTGTAATAGCAAAATTTAAGTAATATAGCTTTACTGAATTAAAAATAACAAAAGGGAGTAACTCCTTTAAAGAGTAATGAAATGTTGTTTGATTTTAATAATACTGACCAAAAAAAAAAAAAAAAAAAAAAAAAGAGGAATCTAGACTTCAAGGCAGACATGTTGTGGCCTTGTCGGACTGCTGATGGCAGGTCAAAGTGGCTACTCTGGACAGAAATGCAAAACCACACGACTGAATACATGCACCCTAACCGCCCACCATGCACTCTGGTGCATCATGCGGTGAGCTCAGGAACACACAGAGAACTCAGGGAGCAAATGTGAGAGACGCACAGGATGAGAGGCGAAACACCCAAAGACAAGGCCTAGAGCTCACCTTGCACCTTCGTCCCACAATCTTCCCTGCGGGACTTTTGTGGCTCTCACGCTTTCTCTTCCTGGCTTGCGCAGATGTCAGCTAAGTGAGGCCAGTCCTAGCTGTCCTGTTGAAAGTGCCACCCAACCCACTCCGAACATTTCCTTTTCCTCTTCTCTGGTTTATTTTTCTTTTACAGTATTTATTGACTTCACTAATATTTCCACTTGATTTTGTTTGTGAGGAACCCAACACTAGCAGGATAAAGATAGACCCGGAATGAAAGAGACTTTATCTGTTTTATTCACATACGCATTCTTGGCTCTTGAATTCAACACATCCTAGGCATACAGCAAATACGAACTAAATGCATGATTGGAAAAACAAATGGCTACTTATCATGAGGAGAGTGAAGTCTCAGAATCCGTGGAATAAATATCATCCAAGAAAAATTCTCGAGCCTCGTGTAAACCAGCGGTGTTGGGAACGGAGTCCACTCCCCATTCCTGGACATCTGCAACAGCAGCAATGCCTACAACTAAATCAGATAATGCAGTGACTGTGTGGAAATCCTCACTTGCTTGTTTAGAGCCACAATAGCACAGTTCTCTGGTGAGGAGCCTTGAGGTTGCTTCTTGCTTGGCATAGGATAAAATATATAATTGAGAACAAAATTGTGGGGTTGGATGGGGATGTAGTTCAGTTGGTAGCGCGCTTGTCTGGTGTGTATTAAGCCCCAGGGTCCGGGCTCAGCACTGCAGGAACTGGCTGTGGTGGCACAGGTCTGTAGCACCAGCATTTGGGGTGAGGAGCTAGGAGGACCAGAAACTCAAGGACATCTCAGCTACATAGTGAGTTCAAGGCCAGCCTGGGCTACAGCAGGCTCTTCTGGATGGACAGAGAGGGGCAGAGAGTAAAGCTGGGCTGTATGGATTCCTCAAGGAGAGTGCTGTTTGTCAGTCATCCCTGGTTGCTTGAAAGCGCATGCTCTTTCCCAAATCACTTGACATACACTAAAGCGTGGTGTCCTAGACTTATGTTGTACCCAACACAAAAACTCCAGTCTCTCTTTAGAATGATCTCTGTTGAAACTTTTTATTATTGTCATAAGCAGTGAGCTTGATGGTCCTTGGAAATACTGCTTCATTTCCCCCGTTTTTGCTCCATAGCTTATGAGGCGATCTGTGTAGTCTTCACATTGCCCAGCCGTTCTTTTATGCGACTTTTAAAAATGCATGCTGGCAGTTAAGAGTCTGTTTAATGAGGCAGCCTTTTCTGACACTCCTGATACGTTTGCTGTGTGCAGGTAGAGAACACAAGAGTTTTATGAAGAAATGCCTTCATAAAACAAACACCCTGACATATCTCGGGTTTTATCGTGTTTGATGCTACATCAATTTTTCATAGAAATACAATTTGCCTTGAACTCTTCAGTAACAGCTCTGATGCTCTCCCTGTAGCAGCTGGAACTTACTGCTGGAATCGGATACTAGCTCCGTGTCCCAGAGGCTGCCAAGCAGCGCAGCACACACACCTTTGAGGCATCGAGGCAAATGGAAAAAATCCACCAACCCAATTAGCCTTCGTTAAATTTATATATCCACGGTTGTCAAACGCAAAGAGGTTATTATGAGAAGAATTTACCTTTCCAAGAACAGGAGCCAAATGAAGACTGGGGCAACTTACGGGTTTGGGAATAGATGGGCAGAGAATTTTTGCCAAGCAATGTAAAACTTAAAGAAAGAGGGTGAGAGCATGGTAAAGGAAAAACTAATTCAATACTAACCATGAGCCATGAATTGTGAGCAAAAGGTAAATTCAGTGAAGGAAGGGAGATGGCTGGGCATTTGAATGCATCTTCTTCTTCAGGTCATTAAAGCCAACTGCCAAAAAAAAAAAAGGAAAATCGAAAAGATTACTACTCTCAAATGCTGCCCAGAAGCCAACAAGTTGGACCCACTGCTAATACTGGACAATACTCATAATAATCTAGGATAAACAGACAAAAAATAAATCCAGATAAGTCACCGTGACTGTCATGGCATATAAAAGAGGTTAAAAGACCTAGTTAGTGACTGATGACAGGAATTGGAGAGTTGCCTGTGCATCCTAGCAATGCGTAGCGCTGCTGACCTGGCAGACTTGCAAACACAAAAGCACCTCGTACATAACCAGTGTTCACAATGGGGAGCAGGAGATTATAGGCCTGTGGCTCGCCATTATGTCCAGTGAGCACGTCAAATCTAAAATAAAAGATGGGTTCACAGAGCGTGGTTAACTGGAGCTCTGCTGACATAAGCTGTACTCTACTCTGCGGTGTGGTTTCTCTCTGTAGGCCTGGAAAATCTCTGCTATATAGTGTCCCCTTTGGCTATGGGGACAGCATATACCAGAGAAGATCTTCTCATAGCCACGATAATGCTGTAAGAGGGCAATAAGAAGAAGGTTAGGGTTCTTAGAACTGGCCTGATGGGTCTGACCAATTCTTTCAGCTAAAAGTCCATCATGAGGACAAAGTCAAGGCCTTGTACTAGTTGCCCATGAAGAGGAAATGGCAAAGGCTAGGGCCTGCAGCTCAGTGTTTGAAATTTTAACTAGTTTGTTCTAGGTCCTGAGTTCTAGCCCAGCACTGGTAGAGGAGGAAGGGAGAGAGAGGACAGACTTCAGCAAAAGAGTGAATGAATGTTGAAGAGAGGAGGGAAGAATCAGGATCAGTAATTCAGCTGGCATGCCATTCATTCTCTATTAACCTTTCTTTGTCCTTATGCTTAGCATATATCTCGTCAACAGCATTCAGTTAGATTTTTAATTTTTCCTAGGTTGTCCCTGCATTTTAAAAAAATTTGATCCATTTATATTTATTGTGATCACTGCCATGGTTGGGGTTATTTATGTACCTTATTTGTATCTTTCATTAACT